AGCTCAGGCATTCATAGATTGTGGAATTCTTGCTTGATAATCTGTTCCTAGGCAATTCGAATTAAGGAATTTTTAAGTCGAGAGCGTAAAGGTTTTAACGGTTTTAAAAGAAACAGGGATCCTATTGTTTGTTGTTGTTTCTTGTAAGTTGAATTATTTTTATGACGCTTTTGCCTTGTGATTACATGTATCTTTGTTATAGAAAGGATACGAAATGTCAATAAGAAACGTCACAAAGCCACCCTTTTCCTAGATGAACTAGATCCAGTATCATAACATCGCGTGACTACTAGTACTCAGAGGGTTATTTGACAGAAACAAATTATGGTTGACTGGAGCAAACGACAACACGCGTGGTCAGTTCGCGTGACAGTCGAAGTAGTTAGTTACTTGATTAGACGAAACTTGTAAACGAGACATGAATTGTCTATTGAATTTGTAGCTTTAAATATTGCAGGTAATGGAGTTTATTTTCATGGACTGTACATAATATATTTCCACGATTTTGATAACATAATACCGCGCGAGAATAGCATATTAAATCATTTTAAAAACATGCCTGTGAAATACGAATTTCAATTTGTTACATTCTGTTTAACTAGTGACGTATAAGCCTATAGTATATGCTTCAATAAATAATAAATTATTACTACAAAAATAGTTTTTATAGAGTTCAAATATAGCTTGAAATTGTTTAAAGTTTGTGAAAATTTTTATTTCTTGCATATCATGATGTTCTGTAAAAATACTCTACTAGTTGTTTTCATTATCGTACAAAGATCTGCCAACAACAAAGAAAAATTCCTACTATCTGACTGGACTCTAGTGGAGCAGAGTAACAGCAGTACAGCTCCTTGTGAACTTGTCAACTTATGTCTCAGGGTGACGGGCGCAGTGGCAGTGTCAGATCTTTGCGATTTAAGATCTGAGTGGCACTGCAACTGTTACGGACAGGTGTGTCGCTTACCATCAGGCACACGACTTGTTCGTCCCATCACTTGGTATTATTAAAAAATGCCAGGATTACCGCTTTTAACCTACTAAGTTACTGTGTGAGTTACCAGATCTCCCTACGCGCTTGTTACAGAACTTTATATCCGTCAAGTGCGTGCGCCGTCAGCGCACCTGTGAGCAACTTATTTGTGAAAATATTATCACCATTACAAATCCAATATATGTCATGTTAGGCATGAGTCGTCTCTAAGTCAAAGTCAAAGTAATTATTGCTTTTATGAGTTACATACTGCTCTTAAAATTAAAATAGTATCAACATGACCCTGTTAGAGCGCTGCAATTAAAAAATATACATTAATTAAAATTTATAAAATAAAAGAACGTAATAATAAAGTAATTTTAAAGCTAATAGATTAAAATAATAGTAAAGGTAATAATAACGTAACATGATACTTTTTATGCAGAATGGTACAAAAAGGAGACGGTTGGTAGTCATTCTTCAAAGAACTGCTTCAGGCTGTAGTAACATTTTTGTATCAAATGAACCTTTAGTTGTTTGGTGAATAAATTATATGGGGTCTGGGATGATATTTTCTTAGGCATTCTGTGGTAAATTTTAACAGCCATTACATAAGGTCCCAGACGGTATATTTGTAATTTCGACCTAGGTAGTGGTAATCTATTTTTATTTCTCAGGTTCAAAATATTGTTGATATTTTTTGACAAATTGACATATTTTTAAAATAATATGTAAAGATGGTAAGTAAGAAGTTTTAAATTTATGAACTGCGGTTTACCACTTTCTATTGGGTCGATATTTACTAGTATTCCAATACATTTCTTCTGCAAAGTAAATAACTTTAAAGCATCAGTGCTATTCCTCCACAAGGTGATACAATAACTCAATCAAGCATGCGCATAAGCATAGTAAGGTTTTTGTTTGACGATAAATGGTAATCTACAGAGTTTGCTTGATATATTTTTGATGTGTTGTTTGCAATTTATATTTGTGTCAATGGTTATTCCGAGCAAATTAAACATGTTCACTGTATCAACCGGAGTATATTAATTTTAAGATTTATATGTAATGGAGTCTCCTGATGTGGTCTAAATTGTATTATTTTAGTTTTTTGTAATTTATACGATGTTTTGTATGATACCCTGTCAAAAACCTTACTCATGTTCAGGATAACAGCGACTGTTTACTATTAAGGAAGTCTAATTTTTTTTTTAATATTTACAAACAGCTAATGCCGTTGATCTATTTTGTCTAAATCCATGTTGGCTCTCATTTAATTATGTTATATTTTTCACAGAAGAAATAGTCTTTGTGACATTGCTGATTCAAACATTTTTGCAATGATTAGATGAAGTGCTATAGGTCGATAATAAGTCCGTGAGACGCCATATTTGTATATCGGCTGGATAATAGATATTTTTAGTCAGTCGAGAGCAGTGCCCCCGGAAAAGGATTGAGTAATTAAAAATACAAGTGAAAGAAGTAGTTCATTCATACATTTTTTTATTAATGTTGGTGGTAAATCGTCCAAACCAAAGCTTTCTTTTTGTTTAGGCCATAGTCTTCTCGTTGGCAGTTGGTATGCGAGTTGGGGACTTCAAAACGTTTTCCAAGCAACCTTCAACATACATAATACATCACATTTTTTCAGTTATTAAAGTGACAAATAAGAAGTTCAATTTGTTGCTGTTTGGATCATCTACTAAGATTGAAAAGCCTTTTTTAACAGCTTCACCCATTCATTGACATTTACTCTCGCAAGCGAGAGATGGCGGTGCATGAGTATAGTTTTTTTATTATTATTCCAGAACGTACTAAATTCGGCAAAATGTAAATTATCATTATTGTCTATGTCGAAAGATTCAATCAAGGTACGTTTGTGTTGAATTCTTGTTCCATTATCCTTGACAAATCTCCCATAGTTAGTGCCACTCCACCACATGCGACACGACACCGCTCGCGACTTTACCGATGTTTGCCCATATCGCTGCAAGATATTCCATGTTTTTGTAATCATTTTTTGGCCTTCATTCGGTTGTCACTTCACTCTATCTATCTGGTTATAACAATCACGTTATCAGTTCTGCCCATATTCATTTTAATTCTGTTGTTTGATCGCCTATGTCTTAGATCTTAGTTCATTCTCGGTTGTGACTTTGATGTTGTCGCTATATCAAAGGAAAATTTATTATCACAATTACGTTTGGGCAAAAAACAAAAGCAATTTCGGCACAATTCTTAATTATCACCGCAATCACCACCATAATTAGCATTCCTCCAAATTTTGTATGGAAATATGCATAAACAGCATGAAATTATTCGCTCATTTCATATCTCGCGAATTCGTCATCGAACCCTTTACGAATTAACGCGTTCATTAAAACAGAACTCATTTGGCTGACCTTCATTGGTCGAGCATTGTTAATGTCGATGGCCATTAATTTCTCATTTATCAGGAATCCGGCAAGTCTGAACTGGAAAGTCCATTTTTGCGTCCGCATTATGTAATTGAACCTCAAAATCATCAAAATATTTGAAATGGATTTTACAATTAATTTATTGGGAACTTTGAATTTAGGGTAATTGTTTTTGTTCCGGTATTTGCATATTTGTTATTTGATGTAGGTAGTTCGTCGTATCAAGCTGATAGAAATATGAAATAATTCGGTGGAATATAAATGCGATTGTAAACGAACAAAATGCGCGGATTGCAGATGTGTTAACAAATGTAATAAATCTGACCAAATGTATCTATATCAGTATCTTGAGAGTAAAGCACCCGTCGACCTAAATTGTTTTCAAATAAATTAACAAGTCCTCATTTTCATAATAAATTAACAAGACATCAATCTAACCTGATTGTAAGAGGATGAGGTCGACGATGGAGCATACAAATCTAAATTATGCCTCTTCACAGTCGCCTAGAAAAGGCCCAAGTTACAACGTTGGTTGGTTGACAAGTCTCATGTGTAGGAAATGAAACTATTTTTCCGGATTTAAATCGCGTTGTTTTTTCAAACAAACCAAGGTTTTGAGCCTTTTGAACCTAAGAACTCGATAAGTCTCATGTGTCTACAATTTCACCAACATCTTTGTGCGCACATTACTTGCTTGGTGACAGAAATAGGTATGGTAGTAGTATTAACCTGGACTAATTGGGAGTAAAACTGTCTGACCGCGGAAAAGTATATACACAAATCGTTAATGTTGGTCAAAAAGCCGCCAGCCTAAAATGCAACTGGTCCGGACACGTTTACTGTGAGTCACCCAGCGTAAGCTGGAGACGTGTAATGGCGTGTCAAGCCAGTTGCTCATATGAGATCTAGTACGTAGCTTGTACTGTGGGTGTAAGAATGAAAGGGAGACCTTAGTCCAGCAGTGGGACAGTAACTGCTAAAAATAAAATGTATCTATACTACAATTCATTGTAGTTTGCTTTAAAACATTTTACGCCATGATTGGTATTTTTTTTTTTGTGATATTATAGTTATTTTCTGTCATTCTCACACCTGGGTTCATTGCCTAATTTCCGTGACAATTTTTATTATTTTTATTGTTGGAGGATCTTGGTGGCCCAACGGCTTTACAGCTACCAGCAGCTGACTAGCGATGTCGCTTTAAAAAAACCGTGATTTTTAAGTTTTATCGAATGTCACGATATTTAACCACCGTGATTTTCAGTTATTTTTGTGAAATTCCTTGTATTGTATTGTCTTGTTGTAATTATTAATACAAAGATCGAACACTTAGAAAATATTCCGTCGGTCCGGTTGGATGCCAACCAATGTCTCCGAGCAAACCGTGCCAGACGATAAGCTAAGTTAGCCACAGAGCGAACTAGCGGACCTTACGAATCTTTTTATGTGCTTGTTGCAAATCCTTGTTTTTGGTTTTTAACGACTTTTGCCGTAGCGCCATCTTTCCGAAAAGAGATATTTTGTTATTATACTTTAACCTTTTTTTAGTGACCCTCTAACGATGTCCATGCGTGTATTTTCATTTCATTACAACTTATTTCTGCTAAGAAATGAGTTATGAATTGTGTTTACCAAAATCAAATGCCATTCCTAACAGGGATTTTGTTTGTTTCAGTTGTCTAAGCCCACGCTCGGCGTACTTCTACGAATTCCCCCCAAGCGGTGAGTACACATATAAATTTATCATTAATGAGAAAACATTGAGAAAGCCGACAATTATAACTTTTATTTGAAAAAAACAACAAACAACAAAGACAATTGAGATATATGGAAGTCCCTCTATGGGAGTTCCTCTCATCTGTCTGCCATTTCCATCATCAGATCAGCTCTAGATCATCATGACGTTTCATTTTTATTTGAATTACATCTATGTGTCGAGTTTTATTTAAATGGGTTAACGGAAAGTAATTGACCACCTTTATATTAACTTCATATAGGAGCACTATCTAATAAAAAGAATCATGGAAGTCGGTTCACAGATGTCAAAGTAATCGCAAAATATACTCATAATAAAAAAAGTCTTGAGAATCTCTTTTTTGAAAGTCCGTTGATAAAGGGCAGTAATAAAGGACAACAATTTAATAAATTAAGATTCTAAGATTTTTCCGTAGGTACATTACACACTGGAAATAAAAACTTCGTTGTTTGTACAAATTTATTCACAATTTTTCATTGTTACAAAAGTTTCGTTTTTAAAGGGAAAAATAGAGTGGTTTACATTAATATTAGACATAACTAGTTGATGACTACCGCATTAGTTAGTCATGCCCAAGGAACCTGTAATGGGCCCGAAACGTTGGTTTGTTTGAAAAAACAAATACTCGAGATTTAGATCCGAAAGTTATTTTTTTGTGATATCAATATGACGAACAAATCATGCACAACAGTTGCTGTGTCACTTATAGCTTTAAATCGCAAAGATCCTATGGGCATAAGTTGACAAGTCCCATGCCGAACGGTTACCATGCTGGTCTGCCACGCAGAGGTTCGATTCCCGGGCCTAGAGAAATATTTATATGGCCTATGTTTATTTCTCTCGTGACTTTGGGTGTAATATGTGGTTGTCTATGTGTATGCGGGACTATGTTGAGTGTGTGTGCATTATTATTTCTGCTGCCAAGCTGTAACGTGAGCATTACTGCGTTCGGTTTCGAAGGGATAAGTAAAAGCAGTAATTTCCTGGACATACTCTTTCATAAGGACCTTTACTGCTGCTAAATTAATATTTCTATGAGTGATTAATAATTCAGCTAAATAGTGAGTTATTGAAATGAGGTAATAATTTTTGTAAATAAGCATTAAGCTGTTTTTGCGGTTATTCACGACTAACAAGACGGCAATAACATTATGCTAATAGGTATTCAAAGCATAAATACATGTCGTTATCGTGACTTACTGAGTGGTTATTCGACTGATTCCAGGCATTTCGTCTTTTTTATGGTATTCAAATCGGCAACTGCTTGTTTGACCTCAGGTATGAAGTTAACTGCCGCCTATTATTATAGGCATTTATAAAATGCATTAATAAAATAACTATAGAAAACCATTTAACAGAAATTAATTTAAATACTGTGTTAACTCGGTGATAGTAGAACTCAATTATTTGGTCGACGGTATAAAACCCTGTGGTTTAAAATATTTCAGATAGTGGAAATGTTTCAAAATATTTTTCAGAAACAAAGGCGAAGTATTCAGATCAAAATTTAAATTCAGGCAGACAGAAAAAGTAGTGCGCCGTGTCTGTCTATAAAAGAGCAAAGATCGGAGGGGCACTGCCACTGCGCCCATCACCCTGAGACATAAGTTGACAAATCCCATATGCCTCTAATTTCACCACCACCCCTACCTTCTAAAACCGAAACGAAGTAATGCTCACATTACAGCTTGATGGCAGAATTAGGTGAAGTGGCAATATTCCACAAGGAGCTCGACAAATTCCATATTTTAAAAAGTCTTACTCGTTTATTTCAAACTTTTAAAAAAAATTTTGAATTTTCATTGCCAAAGCATCCTTGAAGTAAACATTGATACAATACAAACAACACACGTACACAAAATATACATACGGAAATAACAAAAGACCACAATAGATTTACACAGACATAAAACAATAAACACATTGAATAAAGTATAACACACACGTCAAATAGAAATTTTATGAAAAGCTTTGTACAGTGAATCTTGGATATATAGTTACGATTGAAAGTTTGCGTGCACTGCACGTAATAGAAATACACTGTTGATTGAATATTGATTATTATCAGATATAATCGAGAATCTAGAATCTTACAAGGTATTTTTTTTATTAATAATGAAATAATGTATCAAAATGATAAAATTATTTATTGGTTCACTTATTGTTATATACTATAAATTAAATGTGGCGAAGATCTTATCTAATTGCATAACTAATTAAGAGAGAACAGCCTGTAAAAACAATGTAAATATGATCTTAAAACAATACCTTCATTGAAAAAACTAATATAAATGCAAGAACTATAAATACAAGTGAACAAGTATCTTGGATGGTATCTAACTAAATGCCAAAAAATAAGCTTAATAGGATTATATACTATTACGAAGTATGTGTCGCCTTGAAAAGGCTCAAGTTATAAGTTATTCAGGGAATAAGTTAACAGGCAGATAATTCTACTCCTTTGCCGTCCGCCATTTAAATGTAGAAGCGTAAAGTTTCGTGTGAATCTTTAGACAGAACATAGAGGTAGAACCCAAGCCTACATCTAGTCCTCCGGTGATGGAAAGGGGAAGGCGGAATTAAATCGTGTAATTCCATCGCACACTCTCCGTGATATATTCTGTAGAATACCGATAAGCAGGCAACTTTACGGCAGTGTTCAAGGCTCTGCAGCTTTGCCTCTACTAATTCCGAGTCACCTATAAGCCTCTTGGTACTCTTATCGATTGAATCCAAGGTGGCCATACATATTTGATACATTGCATACCTACATATTTGATACACTAGGTTAGCTTCACAAATTAGTTTGGTAATCGTCAGCATCCTGGCCCTCAACGACCAGACAATTTAGTAACATGAGACCACGTTTCGTAGGCGTTCAAACAGCTGATGTCGGCGTCGACCCGTGCGGACATATGTTTGATACAAACAGATCGACGTTGCTCAGTGTCCCGGTGTTGTCCACTTTACCTCGCTGGAGAAATACGTAATGGAGTACGGTTCGAACGTTACATCTTACCTCCAAAGTGTCAAGACTGGCCATTCAAGGATATAGCAGCATATAGTAACCATACATTCTATTGTATCAAACGCATTTTCGTTGAGTTCTATCAATCAGGAGACAGTTTTTATCCTCATAAAGACCCCAAGAATGGTGGCACTAAAGGTGTAATAGCAAGCCTAGTGGACAGTGTTCCGCAGTGGATTACGCTGCTTTAGCACTCATAGTACAGGAAATTCCCTAGTATGGACCAGGCAATTGGCGTGGTTATCTAGCATATTATTATTCTAACATTCAAAAAACAAGACTCTCCTGGAGTTTTACATAAAAGCTAGGAGTATAGGGAAACTTAAACACCTACGTGTTCGAGTGAACTTGTTTATATATGATGAACAGTATAGGTTTTTGAAGTAACGCAGATGTCCAAATTGTTTGAAAAATAGATTTAATCAATAATATCAAGAGACGGGACGAACAAGCACCTGGTGATAAGCGACACGCCTAGTTGTAACAATTGCAGTGCCAAACTCAGAGCTTTAAATCACAAAGATCTAGAGGACATCGCTGGTACACCCGTCGCCCTGATATATAAAGTTCACAAGTCAAACAGCCTTCAAAACCGTAACGCAGTACCTAATGTGAGCGACATTAAGCTTGGCAGCAGAAATAGGTATAGTGGCAGCACTTCCCTGGACAAACTCTTTCACAAGGAGCACTGCTAATACTAAACTGAGTTATTTAATGAACTGACACAATTATCAGACTTAACTAATGCAAACGTTACTGCACTCAAAACTCATCGAAGATATGCAAAATAACGTATTTGGCCAGCATGATAGGCTTTCGCTTTACGAGGGCTGGCATTTACAAATATGAGTGTTTAAATTCAAACTTAATCTCAAGAACAACCGCTAAGGCAAAGTTTAGGTCAAAGTCCGCTACCCTGGCACAATATAAGCTGGGAGCTTTGCACGTTTTCCAAATTTTGCTAACCTTCGACGTGCTGAGCTTTTATCATAATGTTTCCCTTCATTGTTAGCGATGAAGGTACAAATATTACAGGGGTTCGTTGTGGTAACCGTTCTCCAGCTGAACTTAAAATAAACTCAGCAAATTTTTCATTATTCATAAAACGTGTTTTGTTCCCAGATAACTGTCTCGGCACAGCGAAGAAGAAGGTGACGACGTTTTCAAGACTGCTACGAGGATTGAAGTCCCATAGGAAAGAGAAACACGGCTCCTGTTCGCCGAAGCATGCCAACAGTCCTCGGCAAATTCTGCCTCCACAGAGGGTAAAACTTTCTTTTTAAGTTCAATACTGTTAACAAACATCTTATGACTAGAAACGTGTAGGTTCGTCTTGTACGGACTAAGAAAGGAGAGGTAGAGCAAGATGAGAGACAATTTGTACAGACCACATATTCAAAAGGAACATACATCAGTGAAATGTGCAATTGAATGCTATATTATTTCTATTTAGTGCTTATAATTTTTGTTGGACCTTCTTTTACGGTTCCACATTGCTCTTTTATCTGATCCTAATTTTCCTACATACATGCGTATCATCACGAGACTATGGATCTTCACCTGCTACACTCGCGATAAACTTCCTTCGCCTCCTCCACTCCCATCAGTCTTTTCATACATGCCCGTTTATTCTCGATACTTTTAACCCGACCTTTTTTAAGGACATCCCTAATCTGATTGAGATATGTACGCTGAGGTCTACCTCTCCCCAGGGCTCCATTCATATTCGCTCTATAAATTTGTGCCATCAATCTACCAACTACCTATTTTTCCTACAGTTACTTGACAGCTATAGTTATATATAGTTAAGCAATCATCATTTAACTCCCGAATCTCCACTATAGTTTGAACCATTTTATTTATTTTTCTTGGCATATGTAGAGTTGTAGCGATACATGCGTGCCGGCGACGTCTATTTTTTTCTATACATTCCCTTTTGCCCTCATCCGCCATTATACAAATCCGGCGCGACGCCGGTCTTTCCTTGACATGCACTTCGAGCAATTAGTACGACGCGTTGTGCAATTCAACATGTGAATGTGTTGGGATTTTGTATGTTTCATATTTCTTTTTATCCTTATGTGCGCATTATTCATCGTATTTGAATTTTCAAAGGCCTTGGACTTTGAGGCTATTATAATTCAGAGTTTCCATCAATCTACATCATCAAGACTGGCACTAACTTTTCTAATAATACCCGCTGCTTCGGAAAAGAAAGAGTGTAAACTTCAAATTACAAAGTTTATACTAAAAAGATAGAAAAGCTAAAATTTTTCTTTCTTATCTCTTTTATTATTATAATAATTATATTTTTATTATTATATAATTATGTTAACATAAAAGACCCATTTTTAGCAAATAACAAAACTTTGGTAGATGGAACGAAAATTTAACCCGGCTATATCAGTAACTGATTTTTGATAAAATTGGCCTTTATGGCCCTACTTTACGACCTATTTTGTTTCGCAGCCTCATATTCTATTCCATATGACCATGTTCCCCTTAGCAGTTTACTCGTATTGTGATTTTCCCGACCCACATAAACTGCTTTTATTTCTCGCCTTTGTTCAGACTTGTTATCTCTGTTATGGAATATCTTAATCAACGCGAATTTCCGGAAAAAATCCGCTTACTTGGCAAAATACAGTACTCTCCTGTTTGCCTTAATCGAGTGTCGGAGAAAGTAGATGCGCAACTCATCTCCGTCGAATTAAGTGCAACATTTTTCCACGTCCACCTATATTTATTAATCTTCGGGGGTCGGGGGTACGTCACCGCATGCCTTTTGAGAAATGACGGCTGCCAAAGTTAAGTCGGTTGAGCCAAGGCGACGGCGCTTGAGTTATGACCGTTTGTTGAGCCAGGGGATAAAGGCCATTAGGGCGTGGGTATAATCCTTATCGGGCAACTTGCACTTAGGATTAGTCCTGTCAGAAGTTGCTTTTTTCGACTATTGGCGGAGTTGTGTCCAGCTGTGATTACGGGATCAACGGTGGTGGATTTTATTTTTATGGATAAGGCTAAAGCGTTTTCACTGTTTTGTCGATTCAGTAGCTTATGACGGTTTGTGATGAATTTAAGTGATCGCGTGTTTCCTAATCGTCCATGCTAATAATAATTGGACTATTATTAGCTTGGAAATTAAACCTTTGAAAGCAACAAAACGCAAATATTCTTTATGACAAAATGTGCTAATGTTGCTTACAGTTTTGTTTTCAAAGTTGACGTCGAGAGATAAATATTTGACTGCGGAATATTGGCACCTTGCCTTCATACATCGGCTTGTGGGGGGCATTATGGCTGAGCCAGTATTCGAGGATTATGGTCCTGTAGACTGTGGATATCGGCAATAAAACGTTATAGTTGCAGTACGGTAGCGTCGGAGCGTTATGTGCGCTGTAAATTCTTGACATATTGTATCGATAAGATTATTGCATGTTGCAATGTGGCGCATTTCGTAGTAACATTTTGTCTTCGATTTTATGTCTGTAAGACATTGTGTTTGCATCCCTTCATTTATTAAACCTATCCCTTTTGCTGGATAGTCAGTAGGTTCAAATTATCTGTCATAATTATTTCTTGTGTAATTATCCTTTTTTTTGTAATACCTATCTATACAATCGTGATGAAATAATAAAAATTAATTTGTAAACGTATATTGCATATTAGTAGTGCATATAATATATACGTTACGTAATACAACATAGACTATTTCGTACAAACATTTGCGATAAAGATTTCTGGGAAAATTTATTACGTAGTAGCATAATTAATATAAACGTAAATGCTACAATTACGTCGAATATTATAATGTATCCTTTTACGTTATAATAGTAGTCAATTATGAGTATATTGGTTAAGTAATTGTATGTACTCGAATTGTGCTTTATCTCAAGTGACGTAGATGTAACTCTCTGATAACAATATAATTGTATCGATACTTCGGGGAAGAAAGGTCGTAAAAGTCAAACTATAATGTTTACAGTACAACTATTTTCTCCATATCTCTCGGCAATCTTCATGTTTCGGCTGTCGTAGGATCTCTATCAGTTGCCCTTTGCACTTGGTGTAGACTAGGACGTATAATAGAGTACCCACTACTGCTTATTTTGTTCATATTTTTATTTTTCTTTATTATATTTGCTTGGTATATCGTTATGAATTACTAATGCTTGAAGCTTCTGATAAATCGAAACCATCAAGGCAGGAAAATGCAATACTTGTACAATGAGGAGTGAACAATACTCTACTACGACTCATTCAACAAGAAAAAATCCTGGCTTTAAAATTTTGCAGAGTTGTTCAACACGAGTACCACGGTACCTCGGAACAGCCAAACCATAATGATAGATATATTCGGCCTCTGGTAGGAGATGGCACCCCAAGAAGAAGATATTGTTATGGAATTATTATCATTATAAATAGGAAAATCGTTTTACAGCTGCTTACGAGTGCTTTACATGGAAATCAAAAACAACAATAAAGTAGTGAAATCTGAATTCAATTCGTAGTTCTCAATTCAAATTATTGTAGATGATAAATCTTATAATTACTAGACATTAAACTTATATTCGGGTGCATGCGGTAGTCTGAAGATTGCCTAGAGACATGAAAATATTCGAGTAATTGTACGGTACAAGCTGAATGAGAAACGATAATTTGCAAAATTTCATTTTGATTCTTTTTTATTTGAACTAATTGAATTTTTCATGATCTTAAATCATAAATCATGTATATTTGTTTTTTAAACAATACAACTTTTTGGATTCTTTACTAGGTCCCATGACTGATAGTCATAGATCCGGAAAAAACCGTTTTATTTCAAATGTGTAGCAATCATTAAAACCTAAAGACTGGATTTTAATTATTACATTTACGTAAGAAGAGTAACAAATCTTTGAGTAGACTGATCAAATGAGCATGAAAATTTAACAATTTTTACAAAAATTGTCTTTCATACTTTCTTCGAAATACCGACTGACACATCTATATAAAAATTTACATTAACGCTCGATTCAATAAATGTGCACAAAAAGCCGTAATGGTGTAGATAGCTTTAACGGAACCGCGTTGTTTTCCTCGAAAATAATGCATTCAATGTAAAGTTTCCCAACTACAAAACTTATTTCTCCAAGCACATTTATCACGTTTACCCTGGTAATATTTTCATAGCATTGTTTTTGACACACATTACTTTTCTTTGTACCTACGTTTCGTTGTATGAAATTTTGCTGGAGTAATTCTGTTTTGGTACTGGATGAAAATTAGTTTTGTACTAATTTATTGTTTATTTGGATACTACTGCAGTATTATTTTGTTCAGATATAGTCTTTGTATAGTCACTTATTGTAAGCACATTGACTTCATTAGTCCATACTTGCCCAATGATGTATTGTATAATCATCCAAAATTTGTGTACCTTTATAGTTTGCATCTTATCTTCGTTATAAGATATAACTAGATAAACATTTCAAAACTATATCCTAATGACTGTGGATTTGCGAAGTAAGGCTTCTACTTCGTCGGTCAGCATCAATCTCTTCGTACACGCTCGTTTGTACTACGTACCTTTAAGATGACTTCTTTAAAGGCACAACATTTCTGTACTTTCAATATATAAAGCAACTAAATTACTACTTTCGGTTCCCATAACACGGTGTTTCATATCTTTATTAAGGGCAACCACGAAAGGCTTGTGAGCATGTATATGAACTACTTTTATGAGAACTAATTTGTAGTGCCATAATGAATGTTCATACCTGCTCCACCCAAATGTAAGGGCCAGCACCTTTTTGAAAGTTTCCCCTAGTAAAAATATTTCGTTGTTTTTTTAGTTTCTTTAATTATTTCTTAATAGTAATACTACTTACTAAATAGTCCCTTTGTGTAGGAACATGTGTCGTAAACAGACTGATTGGCGTTTATTTGACAATAGAATTTCGTAGTATTCATGAATTAGACACATGAAATAACGATTAGATGTCTCTGTTTGATAATGGATAGGTACGTAATAGGTTTCGTCTTTGTGATACACAATTAGGTTAAATTATGCAAGATCTACTGCTATAGTTATTGGATGACGAACTTGGAGCATATAAAAAGTTTTATGTCTAGATGCATCCAAAATTTTCATTGAAACCCACGCCAGGTGACTGGCGCGATTGTTTGGAGTTTTTTTTTACTCTCGTAATCATTTGTGCAATTTCTTTCTCCCAATGAATAAGTAACAATTTATAATCGAATACAATATCAGCAAAATGGCAATTCGTTTTATAAGAAAACGATCAAAAGCCTTTCTAAAATCTAAAATATTGTATCTCTCTATATCCCCACTTGACCTAAAAATGAACGTCCAATTACACAAGCTATTCCTTTTATATTAAAATTTAAAATATAACGGTTGAATGTGATAGCCGATAAATTTTGGTGGGCTTCGGTCCGCGGGGTAGCCGTCGCGTTATGGGCCACGGCATTGTCGACTGACTCACATTATTCCCTTATCAAGTACCGAGTTAATGGGCAAGCTTTGTGCCGCCTATGATTAATTGATTCGTTCACATAGCCTCATTGTCATGCAGATATCCTTAGCTTTTTCCGTTCTTAAAGTGTGGATGATAAATGATACATTTTGTTGCTCGCCTATTTAGTAGTGTTTGTTCCGGTATGTATGGTAATTAGATATGTATTTAGTGTTTCTTGTTTGTTTTCTGCTCTGTTCAAATCTCGGTAATGATAAGAAGAATTTTTCGGGTCGGCTGTGGTGGAAGTAGAGTGTTTAACTTTTGTATTACATTAGACTTAGAGTGAATTCTCTGATAATCATTTCCGCGTTTCAAGCCTACAAAAGGGTATTTTAAAAGCAGTTTGCTTACTGAGCGTTTGCACAGAATTCATTAAAGATTTTTGTTGTGTAAATAAAACCTTATTAACCTTCGATGAAAAAAAAAGAGTTAAACAGTTTATAGTATTATTGTATTGAGTCTTTAGATCTTCACAATTGTTCCAGGTTCTGTACTCTTGTTCTCCGTCTGACATCTGTCCGAAACAATTACTGTCAGAAAAGTAATGCTCGATCAAATTACTTTTAATTTGTTCGAGTACTAATTTATTGGTAATTGGTAGTAATTGTTTTGGGCGAATATCGGACGAAAAACGAGAGTAGAATCCTTATAACGAGTCCGCAACATTGGTTTGTTTGAATAAACCAAATTTACACCGTTTAGATCCAAATATATATTTTTTTCAATTTCAATTTCATAATATTTCCTTGAAACTTGATTACCGTAGTAAGACAAAACTTGGAAGATTTTGTAAATATTTTTCGTTGTTAATTTATCATGTTCGGGTTCGTCGTGATTCGTAGAAAAGTTGGAGTTTGGAAAGATGGCAGTCTAGTTGCGAAAAATCTTTACGAGAAATATTACTATTCAGTACTGTGATTAATGGCCCCGAAATTTTGTTTTAAATATTTTTTTTATAATGTCAAGTGACGGTAGCTTACCATCAGACGAACAAGTGCGTCTGATGGTAAGCTACACGCCAGTCCATAACAGTTGCACTGTCACTGCGCCCGTCGCCCTGAGACATAAGTTGACAAGTGCCACGTGCCAGTAATTTCACCAGCATCCTTACCCTTCAAAACCGGAACATAGTAATGGTGACAATACTGCTTGGCGGCAGAAATAGGTAAGGTGGCAGTATTTCCCTGGACGAACTCTGTCACAAGGAGCCCTACTGCTACTCGGTTTATTACTTAATTAACATTTTATGTGAGTTGCTTGTGTGTCGTACTATAGGACACATAATAGATGAAATAGATGTGAAAACTAACTTCTATTGTGAATGTGTTTGAGTTTATAGTTAGATAACCACAGAATGCAAAACTTTTTCTTATATTATACATGTGCATTATGTTCTGCTGACGTAAAACATTTATCTTTAGGACTTTGAAACAAATCGCAATTGGAAATGAAACTATTTTTCCGGATTTAAATCGCGTATATTTGTTTGTACACCAGTTTGGGATCCAGTATTTCCTCTAATGAAAAATCCCAAACAGACATAAGACTGCAGTACTAATTAATATGTTTTAGTTTATTCTAATTTCTATTCATAATTAATAATAAATTAAATTTAATAAAAATTCATTCAATAAAATACTTTGTAAAACTTAATGTAGCGTAAACTGGAATGTTTTCTTTGTAAAATTAAAAATAAGGTATTTAATTAATAACTATTGTAACTATAGTGAAAAAAATAGGGTGGTGTGCATTAATATTAGACATAACTGGTTGAAGACTGTACCACCTCAGTCAACCGTGACCATGGGACCTGTAAAGGGCCCGAAACGTCGGTTTGTTTGAACAAACAAATATACGCGATTTAAATCGGGAAAAATAGTTTCATTTCCTATGTGTAACAATCGCGAAAACCTAAGAACTCGAAATCGCAATTGTCTTTAACATATCCAATGAATGACCATGGACTTACAAAAAAATATTCTAAATGTTATTAATGTTTGATCACTATTTAACACAGGTGATGATCTAAGTAGTACTGTAGGCACTGGGTGAGGAGGTCCCAGGTTCGAATCCCGGTAGGGTCAATTTGGGAAATAAATTTTCTATATTTGTTCTAGTCTGTTAAGAGATAAGATTCAAATATCAAACCAAAAAATTCCTTCGGTCCGGCTGGAGTCGAACCAGCAATTTTTTCGACAAACCGGAGCTAATGCTCTCCCAACAGACCTACGGAACGAGTTTTATGGTTTTAGTCTGGGTTTTCTGGGAAATCTCTGGGCAAATTTCATTGCTCTGGTACTTACAGTATAGGGTATTCTCTAGTTTGAAACTTGGTAATTATTGTAGTTGTCTGGTACATTATATTACAGCATGAAAAAGTTATACGAATTGTATAGAACATATATAATTACTCCGTCCACACTTCGCTCCAGTCCCTTATGTTTTTTTATCTTTATAATTAATGTTATCAGCGACGATGAAGTGACAAAGAGGGTGTTTCAATCACAACAACACAATCAAATAAAATACATCTCCTTTTTCTGATCTAAATGGCGTATATTTTTCTTAACCACCCTATACTGATCTATAATTGTTATAATAAATTTGTGTATAAGGTGGATTGCATTTATATTAGACGTATCTGGTTAATGACCCATCTCAGTTAGCCATAACCGCGGGACCTGTAAATTTCCTGAAACTTTGGTATGTTTGAAAAAAATATATACGCGATTGAAATCCACAAAGTTGAATTTCTGATAAGAACTCATACACTACGCCAACTTTATTTTTTTGGTCATGTTTATAAACAGCCATATTTATTTACTAATATTAGGTATGCTCCGAATTTGTAAAGAAGCAAAAAACAAAATTCGAAAATAAATAAATAAATAACGCACACACTCAACATAGCCCCGCACTAGGGAAAACCCTGTGTCGCGGGTGCCATGGACACACACATAGACAGCCACAAATTACACCCAAACTCATGAGAGAAATAATTGTAGGCCATACAACTATTTATTATAGAAAAAAAGAACAAACAAATTAATTTTGTGAAAATAATCTCAGTACAGAGTACTAAAATAACCGACTTCAAAAGTTCATGGAATCACATCTATTTGCCAAGTTTTATTGAAATCGGTTACCGGAAAGTGCGCAAAACCAGATTCATCCCCTAGTTCGTCACTATACGGGTCTTAACACAGGAGAGAATAAAATCGGTACCTACTGCTTAAAGTATATTGAGCGACAAACGCAATTGGAACATAGCAAAATCAACCAATAAAATAATAGCTCCTAATAAAATTTAGGCGCTATTTATAAAAATAAGTCTTCATGCGTGAACAGCCACCCTTAGATATAGAATGATTTTTTTTTATCAAAATTAAGTGGGACCACTATTGAGGTACCCTCTTTCCAATAAAAATGATGATGATAGTCATCAAAATCTGTTCACAAATGCCGGGGATTACAAAAAACACTCCTTTTTTGAAGCCGGTTAAAAAAGCAAAGAAACAAAAAACAGAACAGGTCCAAAAATAAAGTTGGTTTAAGCGTTCACTGGAGGTATCGTTATAATTCTCGATGCAAGTGTTTTTATCTAATCAAATTTGCGTTAAAAATAAAAGTCCTAATATTGAAACCCTTTGTACCAACCCATATTTCCTCCAGGTGGACACACCGGACAGCGTGCTCCAAAGTGGTCTGGGTCTTGGTCCTGGACCAGACACGGCCCTCAGGTCTATGGTAGACCCAAGGGACTATGACCGCCTCCGCTTCTTTCAAATGAGTGCCGCCCAACCAAACACCTTCGAAGAAACTATCCATAGGGTGAGCGCATCATTTTGGTTATCCTGCTATACCTTTACGACAAAAGATATAAGATAAAACTACACTAAGATAAAAGGTAATTTGAACTTGCATAAATCAAAATCGTAGAGAATTCTTTTTAATAAAATAAAAATTTTAAAGTGTAATGGACCCTTAAATAAAGCAGCTATCAAAAACCATTACAAATAAAAAAAACAAACGCCGTAATGTAAAATACTTTAATCATTTTGGGAGGAATATTTGCGTGTAAATATTTTGGGTAAATATTTTTTTAGGTAGACATAAAACACGAACGCACAATGTCAAAAGGTGTAGCAGGAAAAGCCATTAAAATATCTGTTGTGCACTGTATGGCAAATATGTTTGGATCCTATTTGTTTTGTATTCATAAAAATAAATCTTCTTTTTTACGAGTGTTCGCTTTTTAGCAGATTGAAGTTTTAAATTGTAGCAATTTTTTTTTCAAATAAATACTGCTGTAAGAGTATAGTTCAATTTTTTTAAAATCGTATCGAAAATACTCGATGTATCGAAAAGTAAGGTAAGGTTACAGTGTAATTAATTTGCCATCAGAGTGTAACAGTGTCAAAATTCAAAATTTTCATCACTTAATTTTTGGTTTCACATTTGGCATGCTTAAAGAAATGGAGGTGGATCTTCATATTACATTTTCGTTCAAAAAGTCGTTCACAATGTAATGATAATATTAATAGTGTCACACAATTCGTAATGTCTATAGCTACAATATACAAATATAGCTTTGAGATGTGTATATACTAGCGAACATTTTGTTATGTTCTATTAATGACACAATATTTACTAAGACAATTTATTAAAGTTATAAAATTTACATGGCATCAAATAGTGTATGCCTTATGTAGAAGACATAAGAAAATACATATAAATTTTCTATCTTTAAGAAAACTAAAAGGTAAATAAAAACATCTAGGCGTACGTTCTGGTGCATCATGCCCAGGAATTGGCAATAGTTCCTCTTTAGAAGGCTCAGCTTATTCTTTGGCAGAAGGAGCTGCCAGCTCTCTGGATGCCGGAGGATGCAACAAGAATATCTGGAAGGTTCTTAGCGAGGACCCAAGGATTCAGGATTGTAATATTTTACTTTTCAGGTTCAATTATTACAGCAAAATCATAAATTTTGACGATTAAAGTTTTTATTTCTGTTATTGCTGTGCTGACGTAGCATGCAAGTGAGCGAGGGGTGACGTTAGACGAAGAGGGAGAGGAGTCAACGTCCACGGATAGTGCAGTCGGGCTGTAGATGTTCGAATAAAAGAAATCAGTTCTTGAAAATACCATCAATCATAATACTGATTATGTTCAAATGTGTATACACATCTTCACAAATAGTTCTTGTTTTGGCAGTAAAATAAAACAAAAATATCTATAGTTTATATCTTTCGTTGCCTTTCTTTTTATCATACATTCATAGTTGATTTTTGCACGTTTTTTGCACATGCTGGCATGCTATTGTAAGTTTTTTATTACTCATTACACGACAAATTTTATAGAAAGAGGTAATAATGTTCATGCACAATCACATTATAATGTACTTAAAAGTTATACTTACATTTATTGTGGTTAAAGGTTCCGATAACTCTATTCCTTTTTTAATTATCACAGTTTTATTTAATTTTCATTGTCTCTGGAGTCCAAAATTATTCAAAACTGTATTTCCGTAGAAAATTATTTAAAAAAAAAAGCAATAATAATTGGTTCTATTCTGTATTTAGTAGGCTAATGTATGTTTATAATATAAATATTTTGTAGCATAACTACATATTTCACCAAATGATTTCTAGCAGATACAGTACACGTATTTCGTTAATATCTCTTTGCAACCTTCGTGGTTTCGGCTATCGTCGGTTTGTGTTAGTTGCTCTTTTCACTTGGTGCAGATCGGAAGCAGTCAATCCACTTGGAAGTAGCTATTAATATTAATTTATTTTATGTTATTATTATCCATGATAAATCTAATAATTATTAATTGTATTCGGGTGGTTCCGAAGGTTGCGGAGAGATATTTAGAAAATAGTTGTACTGAAGATACTTAACGGGTTTTGCAGGCACTTTTAGTGAACAATTTTGCATGTTATCGAGTCTTTATTGATTGTATAGCACATCTGACTCTTGTATATTTGGTTTAAAAAAAAACCACTAAATTGGGTAGTTATAAACTAAAAAGCGTTTTTCTTTGTTGCAGCTAAAAGTGCAGGAAGCAATGAAGAAAAAAGACAAAATAGCCAGGGAGCAAGAAGAGGTAACTCACTAATCCTTAATTCAACTTCGTCCGCTCCTAATTTAGTCGTTAAAAGTTAACCACTTTCATGTTAATGAGATACATTGTTTTGGTTACTTCGTTTAAACACAATATTATCTCCTCGTTGTGAGATATAAATACTAAGTTGTAATAGTATATCGAGTTCTTCGATTGTCGCGATTGTTATATATATAAAATGAAATATTTTTTTAGGATCTAAATGGCATAATTTGTTGTTCAAATAAATTTTTAATAAAAAAAACGCCCACAAAAGTTCATGTAATTACATTTACTTATCAAGTTTTATTGAAATCGGTTACCGGAACGTGCGCGAAACCGGAATCATCCCCTAGGTTTGCCACCCTCACAGTTACACTATTTTCTTAAAATTTTAATGGTACCAATATTGAGGTACCCTCTTTCCAACAAAAAAATAATCATCAAAATCGGTTCACAAAGTCGAATTGAGAACCTCCTGCTTTTTTTTTAAGTCGGTTTACAAACCAACACTTCGGGCCCTTTACATGATTTAGATTCGATATTCATTATTATTGTGTACTGAATATGCGCCGTACATAATACATAGGATTTTTCCATTATTTTTATATAAAACCAAATGATGGACGAAAAATTCGAACCTACACCTGGTAGTAGGCGACACGCCTGTCCATAACAACTGAAATGCCACTGATTGCTGGAGCACTGCTACTGCGTACCCTGAGACACATGTTGACAAGTCCCATATGCATGTCATTTTACTAGCACCTTACCTATTTCTTAGCGGCAGAAATAGGTTCTGTCCATGTCCTATTGTTCGCGATGCTTACCTGTACCTTCTTCGATACGCTAATTTTCATTATTGAGAATTATTCCCACTTACCATTGACAAATGTACGTAATTTAGATATTAAAGGAACATGCTTACTTAAACTGGGATTCGAACCGTCAACCTCTCAATTTCGTTTCACAATCTCAACCGTTAACCATTAAAACTATTAATAGACCATTACAAGTAAACTGTCTTTACAATATGCGATCTTATCAGCCCATTACATAGAGAAGCTTATAGCTTCAATTAAATGCTTCTAAATTGAAAACTACGAATGCAAACTTCTCCTGCTTCACTTATATTCATGAATGTTCTTATACAATCCTTTCCATTCTTATCACTACGAATTCCAGGCTATTCTAGAACATTCTCGAGTTGATCATTAAATTGTCAAATTTGCTTAGTCGATGTAAACGTGAACAAAAAATTTCGTAAGTATCAATAATAGGATATGGAGTTCTTTGGTGTTCGCGATTGTTGACAGTCGATAGTATTCCAGCTGAGGAATTCAAATTTTTCCCGTACTAAATTGGTTCTATAGCGCGTCAGGGACTTTGGCTTTATTTTTTTACAAAAGAATTTAAAGACATTTGAAAAATTTATATCGCATAAGTACCATAGGTGCGTGTTTTATTTAGTTCAGTTGATATGAAAAAAATCATTAGTAACTTAGAATAATAACGCATAGAAACCTAGCCCGCACACGCTAAGTGAGGCAAATTGAAGCGCTCCCACAAGGCCTACACGAGCGGGCGGGCCTTCAGTGCTCAAGGTCAACTTGCACCGCGAACAGCTCCAGAATTTTAGCTAAAAATGACGAAATGTGCGGTAAATGAGTGTAAAAATACGTCAGACAAACATAAAATAGATACTAACATCACATTCCACAAGGAAGTAACGCGTTTCAACTTGTATTTTTATATAAATATTCATAACCCACTACTAAAACTAGCCTACATGAATTTGATGTTTGCCTCACTTGTGGCAGTTCGTTTGATATGAAACTATCATTCTATGCGTTATTATTCTAAGATTAGTAATATGTAAAATACCTATTGAATAAACCGGTTTTCTTGTAAAATTTCCAAGTAAAAAAATTTTTAGGTAATCGTGTTTCACACCATATAAATAGTAATCAGTAATTCATTCAACACTTTCATTGTTATTCGGAAACAACTAAAGCCATTTGAACTTGCAACGACTAGTAAAACTAGTGTTTCGGGTTTCTTTACTGATCCCATAAGTCAGCTGTGACAATAAGACCTATAAAGGATCTGAAATATCAAACATACGCGAGTTAGATCCGAAAACAAAGTTTCATTTCAATAATACGAGTTACATTGCAGTGAATTCTTCATTAAATACTTACACTTTCTCGTAAGCTCTTCCCCTAAATACATTAGCTATAGAGGGAAAAGGTGCAACGCACTCACACATTGACGAAGTAATCTGATGTGAGAGTCAAAGTAACTTGTAATCTTCGGGCGGGCCCGAGCATCGGCGAGCCGTGAGCTAATCGTGGTCTAATCTGAAGCTAAGCCTATTACGGGCAGTTGTATCGCTTCCCTACAAAACTTCGGAAGCCCCTTGCTCATCACTTTTTGAATACCCGTAAAACTACGCAGCCCTGGTACTTACTTGGCACATCGATCATTGAAATGTTACGAACGTTATAAATTTTCGGTACCTATATAGCTTTCATGTTTTAGGGGTTGATTTCAAATAATAGAGTGCAGATGAAGGTAGCACAGTTCAATGAGCCATACCACAGAATTAATTAAATAACGGAAAAAATACAGAAATAAGTATACGATGGATTAGTATTCCATAAATTGTTGATTCGTTTTTGGAAATATCTTCATAAATTCGTCTTCAAAAATAGATAGTTAATTCATAAATAAAAAACGGTGCCTAATACTGCTCTCCTTGTCATTACTTACGCATTTACATTTTGGTGATTTTCGAAATATTGGCACCTAAAGCATTTTTTCTAATTACTATAACAAAGCTAAAAAAAATTCATTCGATCCGTGTCAGAGGCTCTGCCAATTAAGCCACGCAACGAACCAATAGACCTTATGAATTTTCCTGTTTGTTGTAGATCTTTGTTTTTTAATTTAACGACTTTTTTGCCGTGGCACCATCTGCGAGAAAGTTATTTCTACACTCAGAGAGGTACCTTTACAGCTACCATCGCTGACTAAAGATGTCGCTTTAATAACTTGTAATTTTTAAATTTATTGAATGTCACGATAATAAATATAATATAAATAAATATAAATATTACACAACATCACAAACGTCGCTCTGATCCCAAAGTAAGTAGCTAAAGCACTTGTGTTATGGAAATCGGAAACAACGGCGGTACCACAAACACTCAGACCCAAGACAATATAGAAAAGTTAGTTTTGTACACTGGCCTGGCCGGGGATCGAACCCAGGACCGCAGAGGTGGCGATACCATGAAAACCGGCGTGCAAGCCGTTCGACCACGGAGGTCATCGACCCACGACGTTTTACTACTATGAAATCCATTTTTTTTTTTGAAATTACTCCACTACTTTGTTATAATTATTATAACAAAAAATCGAAATATTAAGAAAAATTCATTCGATCCGGCTGGAACCAGCACCCGCAGGCAATCCGTGCCAGATGCCTTTTTTTTAAAATGCCAATAACGATGATTTTACTTAACAATACTGAAACTAAAAGATATGAAAAAAAACCGCTTAAAGTACATCTAAATTTGCTGGTTCCAGCTGGTTGAGTTATTAACGACTCAATTTTGCTAAATATGACGATTGGGTTAGTTGTCGATAAGGAGGGCAAAATATGAGATTGGTCAAAGTCAAAGTCAAAGTTAAATAATCATATATTCCATAGGTAAAATTTTTACACTTGTAAACGTCATTTTAAGCTACTGCTCGTTCACTACGCTGACCTCCCTGAGAAGAACGAGCAAGAAACTCTAGGGATTGCTCTTTTCAATAAACTTAAATGCTATGAAATACACTTTGAATTATAATTGTGTGGAATCTAGACTCTTGTTGTCTTTCCATACTTCTTTATCTAACACATACTCTTCAATTCTGTAATATGACTTTTCAATTAAAATACTTTTTAGGAAATGATAATCTTAATGTATTCTTCGGAATATTATTGTAAAAACTCTTTTACCTTAGTTAAACGAAATCGTGGTACCATGAGTTTGGACTTAGTTCTAAGGTTAATATTATGAATATCTTCTTTCTTAATGAAATTATGTATATTTTTACGGGTATACAAAATATTTGAGTAAATGTACTGTAATGCCACAGTCATGATACCAGTCTCCTTAAATATTTTTCTGAAAAAAAGCCGAGAACCTAAACGGTACACAGGTGGTTGTTTCTGAATAGAGAAATTGACTATGATTATGTATGACTATAATTTCTAAGTTACGTAAATATATTTATATCAACAATACCTCTTGTTAAAGATGAAACGTCATAAGGAAACCTGCACATCGAAGGACATAGAACATAGATTTTAGTAGCAGTAGAACTTCTTTTGAAAGTGTTCGTCCAGGGAAGTACTGCCATCTTACGTATTTCTGCCGCCAAGTAGTAATGTAAGCAGAAACTACAGGCACATGGGACTTGTCAACTTAAGCCTCTGGGTGACGAACACAGTGGCTATGCCCTAAGATGTTTGCGACTAAAACTAAGTGACACTGCAACTGTTATGGATAGGCGTGTCGCTTGCCAACAGGCGCACGACTTGTTCGTCCCATCACTTGGTATTATAAAAAAGTATAATTTGTGGTAACTCTCTATATAGAAAAGACTCGTGTCCGACAGGGAGACGTATAATAAGTTAACGATGAATAATAATAAATAAAAATAATAATAAATTTATTGGACATAGCCTGATCATAAAATATCTCGTCAAGGTGCAGTAAGATAAGGCGTTTAACTGAAGAATACCGACCATTGACTACCTATAGTTGAAAAAATCTGTATTACAGACTGTTCCTCCGTATCTGTTAATCAATTTTGACAAACAATTTGGAATAGAATATAAATTTACTGGAAGTGAAATAGGGATTGAAATGAATTCGTGAAGCTCGAGTAAATATGTACCAAACGCAGGTCACGTTGCCTCACAATCATATGAAGACACAGTTATTGTCATTCCACAAGCCGAATCTAATAAAACTGCATTTGTACGTCCGTATTGAAATCGCTAAGTCGACTGCATCATAAATAAATACTGAAATTGTTTATAAAGACAAACTTGTTTGCGTTCTGTTAACCGCAGTTAACAAGACTTTGGCGACATGAAATCTCATTTAGTCGTAACGAAACGTAAATCCCTTTCGTGTACTCATGCCGCCTTGGGAACAAAGTGTGCATAAATTAACTTAATGTCCAATACTTTCCTACTTACGTGAAAGTGGTCGTTTTATTACCTCCCTTGAATATTTATTGTCGTGTTCACGCATTTTTACGAAGGAAACATTTTGTGAACACTGAAAACTTTTCTTGGGCTGTTTATCATTTGGCTTAAGGTCGTAAATAGATATCTTTACGGGTTCGTAATGATTCATGATACTTTTTCTCACGCGAAGATTATGATGAATAAAAAACCTCCGTTTACTTTCTTCATAAAAGCCATAAATATTTTATGTCTTACTCATGTTATCCTGTATGATCTCCTACTACTCGGGAGGCATGAAAATATGTTAAAACTTTTCCACCTTTATTTACAAAAGACGTTTATCTAGCTAAGATATACCGTGGAAAGTTTCATCTTTTCGTTGTTTTCGTTCCAAATATGAACGTCTGTCTTTTTCACACCAATATTCTTTTAGAATTTGATAGTACCTAAAGCCTAGAGGTATCTAGAATAAAACCATTTTATTTTATTTTTTTATACTATTACTCCTTAACACGGAAAATGTTTGATATTGTTACAGATTCTTAGAGATATCCGACACGGTCTTATGAACATGGGAAGAGATGGCGTTCGAGGTCCATTTGGAGGTAAATTTGTCACACTCTCACTCAGTTATATTGGAAATAATTTGAAGTAAACGATATCAAAGTACATAATTTGATTCATATTGTGTTAGGCACATGCAGAATATAGAAACAACAAGAGTTAAAATGCGACATTTCAGAACGCTTTTTGGTATTTTATACCCCATTTTACGCTATTGTCGTTTTTGATTTTATGCTTTATTTGTTGTAAGACTTTGGCTTCAATTTTGTTCTACCCTAATTTTACTGTTTGTTGATCGGTTTAAAGTAAACTGTTAACATATTCTATTTATATTCCAATGCAACGTAACAATATTGAAGCTTCTGTCAATATATTATTCGTGAATCATGCCAAAGTAGACGTTATTTACGATAAACTTTTATTTATTTCTCGAAATATCGGAGCGTTTAAAATCTACGATATGATTTTCTTTACTTAAAATATTTCGCATGACGTATGCACGATGTATTTGTTATAATTGGCCAATATTATCGAACGCTTTTTTAAATGTTGTTCACTTAAAAATCGGTTTGCTTTCAATGTGTATTACATAAATCATGCATCATTTTTCATAAACAAAGAACTCTGTCCATGAAGTTAAAAACAAGACATAATTCATAAAAAACAATGACGAGCTAAAAAATGTTAAGTTAATTTAAAGGGAAATTATATAAAACATACAGTTAAACTTAGTTCAGCCAATTTATCACCATCCATCACGTTTAATTTGCGAAGAAATGCTAAATGCATGTTGTTTTTACAATATTTTGCATCAATCACGCACGGCTTTACGATCTTCGTACACAGCTTTACTGCAGTGTTGTCAGTGGAACCGCAATTTCTTGGATGGGCATTTATTACGGTAAAGTTTTTCGCAATTATGTTAGCACGTACATTTTATTTGCATTTTGGGACTTGCCAAGTACAGAAGTCTAATGGAAGACTCGTTTACAGACGACACGTACATGTACGACGACGAAGCGAGAGGGCTTTCTGGAAGAGGACACTGGTATGACGAACCTCCTTACGAAAGCGATCCAGAAGATTTTCTTATGGGTGGAGGAGCACCAGCGGCGACATTTCAGAATGGAAGAGTTTGTTTCACATTGAATCTTCGTAACGAGCCGCGAGGTGAAGGCGTGATATCCCTGAGGAGTGCCGGTGATATAAGTTTAGCGAGAACCCCTCGACGCGGATTAATAATTCCACAAAGCGGCCCCTACCCGACCACTGTGATCCCCTTACGAACGGCGAGAGACAGGGAAAGCGGGGATTACGCTGCCTCTGACATTCAATCTATAGGCTCGAGGCTGTCTGGCATATCTTTAGAATCTAGTCGATCCGAACGTGACTCCAGGAGAGGTTACCGACAAATGTCCGGCTATCGGATAGGCGCTGATCCATTATCACCTGCTTCGTCCGATTACGAAGATCAAGAAAGCGAAACCGATTCACAACACATAGCTACTGTGCATAAGGTAATCGATAATAGGAGCATAATTTTAATTACAACAAACATGTTAGTGCAACTGGCAAAACTGTTCGTAACTTTAATAAATTAGTTGCTAAAATTTTAATTGCTTTTAATTTTTAATTCCTTTGCCCGACTAACAATTTATAATTTATCTTACAGTCAGCCGAAGAATGCGAAGGCGTCTCAAACTTAGCTGGAAAAGTAAGAGGGCTTAGACAAGATGTTCAAAGGAAAATATCGAGGTTAAGACAAGAAAGGGGCCCCGAAGGCACCGACAGGCGAACGAGTGGGGATCAAGCGTTTCCATGTTCTAATAGTTCTTTTGAAAGTCTTCCCAGCGGATCAGGCAGTAGTGAGTGGATTTATTAAGCTATTTGTCTGTGTCAATATAAAAGTTTTGTAAATATGTTCGTCTTTCCTTTCTTTGCATCATAACGCCCCAAGTGCTACTCACACTCACTCCTACTAATGTTTGGAATAGTGACTGCAATAACCAATCTTACCTATTCACAGTCATACAAAGACGTTTCTGCAGGTATTTTACCTTTTAATGTGTTTGTGTTTAAAAAGAATAAAGTTAGTTTGCTAATAGCAATATTTATATACAGGCACACAGGCTTTGGTTCGAGCCGGTAGTAATCACTCATCTCTCTCGGCAGAAGAAAACATAGAATTAAGTCCAGCCGGGCGCAGTTTACTTGTACCGCAAATGCTATGCCGGGCTCGAGCACTCGTCGATTACACACCCAATATTTACGAGAAAGATGCCTTGAGATACAAGGTAAGATAATTTAATGCCACAGAATCCGTTCCTTTTTCTCAACTACAGAATAATGCTATAATAAAGTGTAATTTGTCAACAGAAAGGCGAAATCATAGAAGTGATCAACATGAACGCATCAGGCATCTGGCGTGGTGTACTGAACAACAAAGTTGGGAATTTTAAGTTCGCAAACGTTGAAGTCCTCTCTGAAAGAGACCCAGTGCGATCAAGATCAACAAAATGGTGTAAAAGTCGAGAAAGACTTTGGGAAACACGACCAAGGACTGTGGAGGAACTACTTAGAAGGATAGACTTACCGGAGTACACAGTGGCCTTTGCAAAAAATGGATATGAAGATATCGAACTATTCAAGGAAATTGAACCATCGGATCTGGATTACCTGGGTATAATGACACCAGAACATCGCACCCGCATCCTTGCTGCAGTGCAACTGCTGCACCAGCTTGAATGTAAGTGTTATTGTATAGATTTTTTTCGTTAACTATAAATATCGCAATATTTAGAAAAATATCTGTTACATTTCATATTAGGTGGCGAAGCCGACGGTGAGGGTGAAGGGGGCGGTTCCAGCTCAGAAGGCGGTGACTCGCCTTTTGGTCGACGTCAATTTCCTCGAGATTCGGGTTGCTACGAAGCAGGCGTGGGTGTTGGTGGCGTCCGAGTTCGTACATCCCCATTAGTCCACAGAACAGACGAGCCTTCTCACAGGCCGCCAGAGCCGGCACCTCAAGTGAAACGTTCCATCCGAAGAAGACAGCCAGATGATGCTGAATGCGACAGAATCGAACGTTATCCAGGAACAGGTGGAGAGAGAACAATCAACCGCAGCGTTGGTCTCCCAGGTGGTGCTAGAGATGATACTTGCGAGTCCGATCACAGGCTTAACGTGGTCAAATTTGTGGCGGGGGGTGAGCCGTGTGCATCTGAAAAGAGTAGCGATTCTGGTGTGAGTAGTTCTTCGCTGAGTTCAGCCCATCCTCATCGTCCCTGAGCGAGGCCCGCCGCGCCCGCGCTTGCCTAGGCGCTGGCGCGGGCGCGAGCGCAAGCCGCGCAGTCGCCCGCTCCCCCCGCCAACACTGAAGAACCTATTGCACTACCTGAAAGCGAATAGACTCCGTTGCCATACTCTCAGTGCCACAAAGTATGATCAAATCGATTGTCATAAAAGCAAAATGGTTCGCGTTATAAAGTGTAAACTCAATCGGTTCGCGTGTTTCATAATAAGATTTAGGGAGGCCTTTATTAATTAGTATTTTTGGTGTTGGTAGCTGTGATCCGTGGGGTTATTATAGATGATTATTTTTGTTTTAAAACTTTGTCCCCGACTGTTTAGTAGAGAATTTTCTTATCATATTAGTAGATATCTACTTAATACACAGAAATGTTTATTATAAAATCGTGCACGATTAATCAAAGACAATAGTTCAAAGGCCACTAGCAATGACTGTATTTTCAATTGCTTGATGTTGTATGTTTGATATAAGACTGAAACATTTCGTTGCATCGTATTGTATAATTAGATATAACTTTTAGTTACATTTTTCACCCAATTGACAACAGTATATAATGAAAATACATTAAAGTTCCACAAGCACTTGGCTGTTGTACAAGCATCATACTGCGTATGCAAAGGATTTCAGTTTGCTTTATCTTATACAACTACTATTTCTAATTCGGAGTGCACACTATGAATATATATATATACAAGGAGCAAATGTGCACGCAGGGCCCGATTCCGATAAGTGTGCGGTTAACTAAAATTCCGATCTTGTCATTTTTACAGGACTGTCATTATTACCACTTATTTTAATTCGCTTTATATCCTAAACTATCATTCCGTTAATGAATTTATAATGCATATCAATGAATGTGTTTAAGTTGCTATAATTATTAATTTTCTGTACTTTGTTCAAAATGTTTTCGTAATAATTTGTCAATTGATTCAGTTTTGGATGAATACCTGTGCAATAACAATGTATTGTACTGTAATTTGTAATAAAAAAGTGTCTCTTTTTAAAATTGCACATTAAATAAAAACAATGGAAAGTTCCATTTTCAGTGAAACACAGGTAGGAGCATACAAAGAATAGAAATACCGTACCATGGGCCACATTACCGTCGTTGTCGTAAACTACGTAATCAATATTTTTAGCATATCTGGAATCAGCTAAGCAAGATCTACAATCTCCTATTAGCGATTTTTTGTATCTTATTTAGTTTCTCTTTATTGTTCAGCAAAATATGCTCAATTGACATTCAAAGAAAATAAAACTTTAGGTGCCTATATCTCCAAAGTTACCATAATCAAAAACGTTGTTTATGATAAGGAGGGCAGCATATAATCGTGTATACAGACACTAGAAATACCGTACTTTGAACCACAGGTACGTATATACAAACCCTAGAAACACCGCACTTTGAACCACAGGTAGATGTGTATACGTAAACACTAAAGGTACGATGGATCTTCTACAATACGAAGCAATATTCTTGTGCGTTTAACACAAGATACGCTTAACACTTGTGTAATTTTGAACAGAGTACAGAAAAAATGTGTTTATTCTTAGCAATGATGGCAATAAGCTAAGTTAAAGCGTTAAAAGCGCAATAATATTTGATAGCAATAATTGTATATAAACTAGTAGATAGGTTAATTATTGTACGTTAATACATTTTTTGTAATATTTAAGAGAGCTTTATGCGGTACGCCGTATGTACATGTTAGTGAGTAGTGTCTTCGCGTGTGAAATTTTAAATTTCACCCCGGTTCTCTTGCGAGTGGTAAAATTTTCTAATTGACGTCCTCTGTATATTACACCGGTTGCTGAACTTCGTCAATTTTCGTCATCGCAATCACCGTGTTTAATTATTTAGCTATTTTTTTAATAACGCACACACTCAACATAGCCCGGCACTGGGGAAATCCCGTGTCGTGGGTACCATGGACACATACATGAACAACCACAAATTACACCCAAACTCACGAGATAAATAAATGTAGGCCATATAAATAATTCTCCCGGTCCGGGAATCGAACCTGGGACCTCTGCGTGGCACTCCGACATGGTAACCGTTCGGCCACATAGGTAGTTGAAAAATCTATGGCGACGGTATTACAGTCGGTAAAGTAATAAATACACTGCGAAAATTAAACTAAAATATAGAACAATATACAGGGTTACCTATTTGTAAATTACTAACAACCTCGTAGGACTATATTACTAACATCATAAACAACCAATTTGCTCCATAACTTTAAGAATTTATTACATTTTACTTTGATACAAAAATAAAAATATTTAACAAAACATACAATTCTGTGCAATACGCAGGAACGCGAGTAGGAGTCTTTGGGGAGGCCGCTTGCACTTTTGAACTATCTTACCAGATATGGATCTACGAAGTGTCAGATAGTATAACAAAAACTTAAAAGCTTAGTTGGCATAGCGTCTGGCACAGTTTGCTGGAAGGCGCTGGTTCGAGTCCAGCCGGATATTAGGATTATTTTTAATTTTTTTGGTGATTTAAATATTTTGTGAAAAGTCATAGTACAAAAATTATATATTTATATGTGTGTTAAAAATGATATAATTATATATGTTACACCTTCACACGAGGACGTGGACCTGCAGGATAGCTATGTCGCATCACGCCAATAACTCACGTCGTTAAGACTCATTATTGTCATTATTGTAATATCTACGACAAATAAACTGACAAGCTGGCCTAATATTTCAGGGCAGTCCGACTCGCCACGTAAAAATGTTACTAATATCGTACATTTGATACTTTACATTTCACACCCTCAATAATAAAATGACGAAACGGAAACAGATTTTTTTGACAACACATATGCACATAGTGTTATACGCCATTTTGGCTGGTGCCAAATGTGACTAAATCTATTTATTTTATATGAAAAACGTTATATAACTTTCTTTTTGTCTATTGTATTAATTTCCCAAATTGTTATTTTTCGCACATCACTTTACAATGGAGACAGCGATTTGATCTTTTGAGCAATTTATGATTTTTATCATACTCCCCATGAGTTCAAGTAGAATTTCAACGAGTTCAAGTACAATTTTATTTACATAATACAACTGAATTGACACCAATAACTCTCTTTGTTCTATGTATATGTTGTATATCTAGTATTTTTTAAAGGCTGTGTTTTCCTTTGAAAGTTCAATTTGACATTAACCTACCTTGTTGGTTACTTAAAAAATTGCTAGTGGACTCTAAACCACAGAGAACCTGTACCAACAGTTCAAGAATTTGAATAAGCCTATCGCTGGTATTCATTACAGCCAAGACCCTTATAGAACACAACCAACTATGCGGCTAGTTGTAAAAAGATATGTACTATAATCAGTAATGTAACTATGTAATTGCGGCTGTTTGTATCACTGCCTGGCTAATGAGTGGCGAATGCTGATGGACAGATAATAGGTTTAGGCACTTTTCTTTAGCTGGTTACGTAACTTAGAGCTACGCCACACTGGCGCTGCCGGTTGCGTCGTTGCAACGCTATGATTTCAACGCACCGAGTGCCACATGAACAATATAGTGTAGCAACATAACGCCGCTTACTTATGCGCCGCAGCACCCCTCCCCGCTTCGTCTCCTGGGCCCTTGTCTGATGCAGACGCATTTCGTCGTCGCGCGCCGTTTTACGCATCATGTGGCATGTAATTCTACTTTATATGTTAGTATGTACAACGCAGCGCGATACCTTTTTAATATTACCGACTTGACCAGTCTCCTCTAAAAAAGTAAGCCTAGCATAGTCTAGACACTCTGACACCATGACATGAAAAAAATACATAATAGGCCATCATTAGTTTCAATAGCCAAAAATCTTTTTTTTTTGTTCTGAAATGTTCCTACGTTTCAGTATAATGGAAAACTATTAGAGTGTGAAAATATCTAACGTCGTTTCTATCAACTGATATTATTTTTCAGATAAGAGGTCATTTTAAAAAGCCATATGTATTTAGGGTGCCCATCAAAACGTAAAATTTATTTAACTGGAGTACTTTTTTGAGGTGGAAATATTGCACCGCATATTGTCCCTCTTCTAACCGTCGTAACTGACATTGGGGACATTTTTTTAGGATAACATACTTTCGGTTTACTGCCTTACATCTTGAGCTTGTAGCTCATGCCAAACTTATTCTATCAAAGAGTTATATTAAGAGGGAGCATGCCAAAAAAGTTTTGACGTTGGCTCCGCCCAAATTTGTGAAACAAATATATGCCTGAAGTTCGCGTGACATGCGACAGGAGATGTTGAATTTTGCGCATTAAAAGTACCAAATTCGTTTTAGCGAAATAACTCTAAAACTAAAGGGATTAAAAAAAATCCGTAGTGACAGTTGTCGATCATGCATAAATATAATTAATTATCTAATTTTTGTCCTGTAGCATTTCGAGGATAAATCGAAAAAATGTGAAAATTAGAGGTTATTTCGTGATTTTTATCTATCGAGGAAACTTTAGTGTTTTATGTTTGTGATTAATGTCTATGCTTGATTATATCGTGTAGTTACGCATACAATATTTTATTTTTAACTTTAAAGTGTATATACCCCTCTAAAATCAAATCGAAGATTAGGAATTTTTCCTCTGCTCCCTCTTAACACATAAAATAGGTAGACGTAAGATTACTTGAGAATGTTCGCTTTTGATAGCCAAGTACGTCATAGATATGAAAGTTGGTAAGAAGAGGGGCAATATGTAAAAAGGAGATATTTAAAAGTGACGTTGTTTGAGTTGTAACAACAACAGCATTTTCATAATAAAGAATTTCGAAATAATATAATACACATGTTTTAAAAAACATACCGGTTATTTTACTTTTAGGTTAGGTCTCATTTTCGAATAAAAAAATTTCAAATAAAATTTATAATATGTGTTTCAATTTATACTCTCATCTTTTTGCGTCAGGGGCTAAAAATGGAGTCCATTTACTGTTAACTTAACTGTACTTCGCTAGGAGGTTCATTGAAATTCTTCGCTGCGTTAGCATTAATCGATTGCAATTACGAGGTTCAGTGACCGGTGGGTAAATAAACAAGCGAACACTTCGACTGCCAGTAGTGTTCGCTGATTTTTTTTTTTGTGAATTTTTGTATAAAAATAAAATTACTCCACACTTTTTGACTACGATCATGAGCTAGTCCGTATGTAAATGTATATAGATAAATGTTTGTTACTTGTATATTGTAGATAGACTATATTTCTTTTGACATTTATTGTATATTCAATCTTTTAATAAAATTACATATAACGTTAAAAAATAATTTATTTATAACAGATTTATGTTTCGCACATTAGGTAACATTCATGCTTCGATTTAGTTTGTTCTTTATTTTAATTTAAGACTTGTGATTATGATACATAAGTTCGTCATTATACATTTTTGTGTTAGCAGTACTTACTATGATTGTAATTTTTCGTAACCGTATAGTTATATTTTTTAAATTGAACTTATTGCGTAAGTTTACAAATCTGTTTACAAACATGGATTCTAAATAAATAAATCCAAAGTATCATTTCTGGTTTTTCTTAACAGCCTTTATTGATTTTTTTATTATTCTGTTGGTAAACAACATAACGACAGCTTTAAATCGCAAAGATGTTGGGGGCATTACCACTGAGCCCGTCACCTTCAGACCTGAAAGTTGACAAAACCCATGTGCCTGTAGTTTCGTCACCCTTCAAAATCGGAAAGCAGTAATGCTCATATTACTGCCTGTTCCATTTTATGCAAACAATGAGATGAAAAATGTTATCATTTTTCCTTGCGATGGAGTTACCACTTACATCGACCGGATTTTAACCAATCAATAGACCCCTTTGTAAGGCAACTGCGGGTCAATCTCTACAGGAAAAGGAGCTAGAGAATAACAGTAGTAAAAAATAGTAACAGTCAGAGTATAAAATGTTATTCCGCCTTCTAAAAATGTACCTCCTGTATATATGAATTGCCAATAATGGATGCGCAAATCTCAAATAGACTTCGAACTTAAGCTTGTCGGATCAAGGACAATTTGTTCAGGTGAAGACTTTCGGTTGGTTTTAACCGGGATTGTTTGTGCGCTGCGATTCAAATGGCCCAACTTACAACGTGGCTTGAGTGCCCAAGCACCTGCACGCTTGATTTTTTATTGGCGGCTACTAGAGATACCATCAGTGTGGTTAAGCTCTTGGCCGAAATAATAAAGTGTATGCCATCGAATGAGAATTTATGACAGAAAAAGTTCCCAACTAGAAATATGACCGGAGTTTGTCTGGTATTATTTTATAAAAATAGTATGATATAGAAGGAATCACAAATATGTTTCCTGTAATTCAGCTTCTTACTAAATAATTTTTACGTTCAAGATAATAACGCAGCCGAATCGTGATTTTTCTTAAAGTTGGGAAAAAATTCTTCATTTAACGACCTGATCGTAATATTTTAAAACGATATTCAAATTTTTGCTCTCTTTATTGCTCTTATATTTTATATTGCTACGGACTGCTTTTCGGCACCTTATCCTAGGAACAAACATAGTCAAGGAGTTGGATGAAAAAATGCTAATCCTATTCTTAAATGTAGAGGAGTTAAAATTTATCTACAGATAAGTTTGTTTCATGCTTTAACAGATTTTGACAAATCGTTCCTCTTTTTAACCGACTTCAAAAAAAGGGGAGGTTCTCAATTCGACTGTATGTTTTTTTTTTTGTATGTATGTTAGGCGATAACTCCAGTATTTGTGAACGATTTTCATGATTCTTTTTTTGTTGGAAAGAGGGTACCTCCATAGTGTTCCCTTTTCATTTTTAAGAAAATCACCCACCTCAAAAATTTTAGTTATACGACACAAATAATCTTAAATGTTTGTGTCATATGACTAAAATTTTGAATTTTTATAGACTGTATAGTATAACCAATAAATAAAATTTAAAAAAAAAGTAAATAATGTTTTTTTATTTTCATTTATATAGATAAAAGACTTTTTTATCATTGTGCTACACAACGTCATGAAAACATTAATTTGCCTTCTCAAACTGAACGCGTACAGTTGCGGACCGCACGCGACTGCTTATGTTCGGCGCAAGGGTTGGTCGCACCCTGGAAGGTTAAAAAAAGTCGGATCAAAATGTACGTATGAAAGCACTGGTGCGTGATGATGAGGCGAAAGATTTGTGTCAGGATCGTAGCAAGAGGAAGACTGTGTCTGTGTCTATGTCGCGATGTGAAAAGGGAGTGAAGTGTCTGAATGTTTAATATTTTAAAAAAAGGACGTGATAAAATAAAATGCTTGAACACAACGAAAATTACTGGACCCAATTTTTTTCCTCAATTTTAGTTAAAGAGCTGGCGCATTTTTGAATCTGGAATTCTTGGTTTTATACAAAGTAATTTTTATAGAACGATAATTTAAGGAATCTTATTAGCCATCAATACGAGCAACATTTATTATCAGCACCCCGTCAAAAACGCGAAAAAAATACAATATTAAATTTTTAGGCCTCGGATCAGAATGCATTTGACAGCTGGTATTTATTTTTCAAAGTTTAAGTTGTAAAAGTCCATCGAATAGATGGAGATAGAATAGAGAATAAAGGCGTTGATAAAAACAAAAACGCAGCTTGGGCAGACATCCCATTAGGTCGATCGATGAGACGGTGAAAATTGCGGGAATACGGTGGATAACTGCAGCGTGAGACCAGTTGTTGTGGCGACGTCTTTTGACTGAAATGACGAAGATGATGATTCAAATAATACTTTCATAATATGAGGTTATGAAATCGCTTCTACATGACGTATTTGTATAATTTATACCACAGACATAATGTCAGGCATGCGGCTGTCCCAGAGAGTCACTTAGGCAGTTAGTTTCCGGTTGAGTGTTGAACAGACACAACTAAGCAAAATTCTCCTTCAAGAGCTCGCGCTAAAGTTCGGATTCGTGCCACAGATGACGCCTTAGCGTGTTTCTGCACTGCATCCGATTCATTCGGAATCCGACACTATACAAATCAAATCGGACCCATTTCGGACGTCGCTTATGCATTAAGTACGAATATCGCTTGTACACCTAGAAATAAAATGATCCATATGACATTTTGGACCGTAATTTCTCTGATTCGGAACTGACCTTGTACTCTCGTTGTCCATCCGACGTCCATCTGAAACAATTACCGTCAAATAAGTAATACTCGACCAAGTTTAAAGATGCGTGATGAAAATGAAGCGTCATATTTGACATTATCTTTTAATTAGGTCGCGTATTACTTATTTGACAGTATAATTGTATCGTCGACCCCTGATACGAATCGAACGCTCTTATTACAAGTATTCATCGGAGCCAATACTCGAAAACGACCGCGTCGAAGTCTATTGGGACCGATCCGTTATCAGGACCATTCTTACGAATAAGCCTGACGTTGTAATATTGGGTTGATCGCAGTCGAGGGTATTTCTTGTGGACGTTACCATCTAACACATGATGAAGGTTTCGTGAAAGCCGAAACCGAGAAACATTGGAATCTTTCATAATCTTAACCTGATACTTATACAGATCATTGATAGATAGGATCTGGCCTCCACTGCAATTATGCTCATTGTTTTGTGTGGGTTCGTTCCAGCACGCTGATAACTTAAAACGGTTGGATTTCTGTAACGTGTCCTTGCTGTGTGTTTATATAAAAAACGGTGCTACGCGTATCATTCGCCGGCTCTTAGAACGGAGTCCTTGATCTCGGCCAATTGCATTTTTATTACATTTGTCAACATTTATTTTTATGGCATATCGTGAGGTTTTCATGATTATGATAGTAAGCCACGTTGAGGCAACAGACACTGGTTCGAGTCTAGTCAGATCGAAGGAAGACAAAGAAAAGATAGAAGGAATTTTTCTTTTTCAAGTTTACCTCGAAGTTTTCTTTTGTAAGGAAAAGGTCACGTGTACATTTTCGTTGTTGTGTGTGCAATTTATTTTTATTTATTTATAAAAAAACCAACGGCGTTACATAAGATGTAAGGAAAAATGAAACATTCGATGAAATCTTATGAAGTCATGTTTTTTTTTCATGCCCTTTAAAAATTAAATTTTTGGTTACTAATTAACAAACAAATTTAAATTTTTACATATTTAATGAAATAAACCTTACATGCTCTAAAAGTTACTCTATTCAAAATAAAGATCTTTATTTGTAATAATTTCGAGACTCTTATTGTTTATTTTGAGATTCCTCTTTACACTGAAGTACTTTTTTAGATATATATATTACCACTACTGCTATAATTAATTATTTTTAAA